GGGGGGGTTGAAGGGGGGGGGGAGAGGGAAGGGAGAAATTGTTCAGATTTTTATTAACAGGGATTTGAATTCTTCTGTGACTCCACCGGATGAATCTCAACTTAAGAATCTTCCACTATTTAACCTTAAAAATGTCACAGGTACGTTTTTTTCGGTGTAGGACACGATCAAACGCCTACATTGGAAAATCTGCATATATATATATATATATATATATAAAATTAAATTGAGTCATTGCAATTGTTAAGACGCCCATAGTACACTTTCAAGCCCCATCTCTCTCCCTCTGAAGGTTATTTAAATATACCAAAACTCATTGAGGCTACTTTAAGATGAATTTTAGTGAATAAGTGTAGTCCATAAGAGACCTGCGCACGCAAAAAGACAACTGTTTAAAAATTAATATTTATTTCCTTTTAACGAAATTATTATTCGTTCCATGTTTTCTTCCAGTGTAGTAAAAAAGCTTGTGGGACACGTTATCGCTCTGTGCGTCATCGTATGCCTGCATGTCGACTCGCCAGGATTGGGAGGTGCGGCCGTACAACTCTGTGTGCAGCGACCGTACAAACAGTGACCAATCATCAACATCTGTTTAACCTAATCCCCCATCCTGATCATGAGTAGCTCCCTGTGTGTACACTTATCCGCAATACTCGAACTGAGTAAACGTGCTCCATGCTACACGTCAGTTTCCTTTTATAGCTGGGCTATTGCTTAGCTAGTTGTGGGAGTCTAGCTAGATGTTGGAGGATCTGCCATAGATATAAACGCGCTCCGTGCTACACGTCTGTTTTCTTTATAGCTGAGCTATAGCTTAGCTGTTCTCTAGCTAGAGGTTGGAGAATCTGCCATAGAGATTTCTGATTCCTAGCTAGATGTTGGAGAATCTGCCATAGAAATTTCTGAGCCGGTAGCTAGATGTTTGAGAATCTGCCATGGAGATTTCTGAGTCGGTCTAGCTAGATGTTGGAGGTGAGTCGGTCAGGCTTTACTAAGGTAGCAATCCGCTACAAGCTTTACCCCTTTTAGGGATTATATTAGACAAATGAATTTTCCATGCGCAGCTCATATTGATGATTATTTGATTACAGTAATTTATTGCTATGGCAATGGGTTGGATTTAGAATTTTCTTATTGCAGATCATTGCAAAACTATTCGCTGATTAACTAAATCGAGCCCGACTCATCCAAAATCTTATATTTCATAAAGATTAATTTTATCCTAAATCTGAATGTACACTGCAGTATGTGCGGACGGTAACCCATAAGTTTGCTTGACCTTATTTTCACACCGTGACACAAACGAGGCAGCATCAGTCAATTCCTCCCATCTTGAATCTTATCTCGCCCTATTTCGCAGTTCCGGGGTGTGCACCTCAACGTGGTGCATCCTGGGCAACGTATACTCATACGGCAAAAACAGTCTATAAACCGGCAGTTGACTTCTCACTTCAAACTACCATCAACCCACTGTATGTCATATTCCACCACTTTCACAGTACTCACCTCACCTTTTTTCTACCTTTGTGTCTGTCACTTTTAAATCTTTAAAATACTCTTTTGTTCTCCCTCCCCCCTCTCAACTTTTTTTCACTTTGATTTTTCTTTCCCTCTGTGAGGCCTGAAGTCAATTAAAGGGCTAATGATACCCATCAAAACGCCTGTCTGGTGGTACTCTACCTATTTAGTGTTCAACCGAATGATAACCAATAATTAAGTATCACTTAAACAAATTTAAGCTGGATTTTGCCAAAATATAAAACTTTGACCTTAGAAGCCAGATGGTAACATCTCAGTCTATGGTATTGGAAAAGGGCTATATTATCCTCGCTTTTATTGCATTCAAATGCTTCCTATTAAATAAAACTATTTTCTGTGCTATGCACTTCAATTAACCAAACCCAGTGCGTCTATTTTCCAGGTCTAATTTCCTTACCTCACCCTCAGAAATGCATATTTCAGTAGTCGGGGTGCGTGACAGACTTACCTCCACGTGGTGCATCTGGGCAACGTATACTCATACGGCAAAAAAAGTCTATTATTCGGCAGTTGACTTCTCACTTCAAACTACCTTCACCCCAATGTATGTCATATTCGGCCCCTTTCACAGTACTCACTTCACCTTTTCTCTAACTTTGTGTCTGTCTCTTTTACACCTTTGAATCTCTCTTCTGCTCCCCCTCTCGAATTTTTCTCACCTTGATGTCCCCGCCCCTGTGAAGCCCGAGGTCAACTAAAGGGCTATTGATAACCATCAAAACGCCTGTCATTTGATATAAATATTTCAGTAGACTAGGAACACTTGATTTTTTCCGTGCTGAAAAGGCGGTCCGAAGCATTTGGGATTGAATTGAAGTTTATCCAATTCCCAAAAAGGCAAAAAAGATATGCCCCACGTAGTTCCACATCACTTCTAATTTTATTGTGTAAACATCTCGACCTCCACCCCCCCCCCCCCCCCCCCCCCAACGTGGACTATTCAAGAGCAGATAGCTAGTACGTATCAAATTCAACGAATCTGGAATAATATGCAAACTAAAGAGAAGTGGACATACATTTTGCCATTGGAATTTACTATATATATTCATTCAATATTTACATAATTAACAATAATAATAATATGAAGAAAGCGGAAGGAAATGGGGATCTCAAAAAGGGCGGAGAGTGAGAAAGAGAAAGACTAAAAGAAACTCAAGAAGTGAGAAGTCGGAATTTACAGGAGGATGAGCATATTGCATAAATTATTACCATCCTCATAAAACAGCCAAAGAAAAAGATAGAATTCGAATTCTCACATCGTCTGTAAATGTTTTTAGTAAAAAAGGGTCGGGGTTGAGGGGGGGGGGTGGAGAGGGATAAAGTATCTGAGATAGCAATTTTACTTCGTCACTTGAAAAATGCATATATAAGAAGAAGGGGGAAGAAGAGAAAGGGTAGTGTGTGTGTGTGTGCGATTCAGCACTAATTCTGCTTGACAGGCTTCGTTAGGCTGTATATAACCCCCAACACATCAGGTCGAGATAGCAAACTCAAATCTGGCAAATCTCGCAAAGCAGTAACGGTCTCGGGATCATCGTCCAGTTGTCGCAACCGTTGGGCAATTGCTAATCTGGACAATTTCGGTGGATTTTCGCAGGAATTTTGAGTCCCTTTCTCCCCGAAATTGGAGTCGAAACTTCGTTTCAGGTCTTTACCACCAGTTGGTGAGTTATTGGGAAATGCTGGAGAGGAGGAAAGAGATTTAGGGTTTGCGTGGGCTCCTTCCACAGGTATATTAAGAATGTCTGGCAAACTATTTGTTGGCGTTTGAGTTGTACTCAAAACCCTTTCTTTCTGATAGGGCGCTGTTTCTGTGTTCACTGGTTGAGCAGTTGCATAGCCACTATTGTTGCTTAGTTGAGTCGTTGATTGGAATTCGGGTTTGGAAGAATCAGATAGATGATTATCTACAAACACAATTGATAAGTTTACTATATCCTACTTAAGTGATATAAGTAGCTAAAGCGCATAAGGGCTAACCATGGGCACGCTGTTGTGGAAGTTGTTCTATGGGGAATAGGGAATGTCTACTGCTATCAAGGATACCATTAGTCAAGAGTGGTGGTATATTCTTGGGCAGTAGAGCACCATGTTCCAGGTAATACGCAAAAGAATTGGTATAAGGGCCCCAAAGTGGCGTGAATTCTCCCAGTTTTGTCACAGGAGCTTCACTTATAACTGGACGCCATGAACCATCTTTGAGAATTATGATGGCATTGAAACGTTCAGGAACTCTGGCAAAAAAATGTTCTTGAAGTTCGGAGTCCACAATAAAGCCCTTTGTATCCATGGGAACTCTGTTGAAACAAAAAATATATGGAAGAAAGAAAGGAGCTCGAAAAGTTAGAACGAGTTGACGACCTGATGTAGGCCAGTTGCACATGCGAAGCGACCTAATAACCATCCATAGGTAACCTAATGGACGTCTGCCAAGTAAGAGGTCAAGAGATCACAGTGACAATTGTCTCGCATCTGGAAGGTTAGATGTAACCTGGTTGGTTGAATGGTATTTCCCATTCGGTCACCTTCCGGCTATACAAATCAAGTACTGTGGATTCTCACCCAATAGAGGCGAGAGAATATTCCCAACAACCATCTTGATTATAAGGATAGCATCATGTACTCCCCAAAGAGAGAAATTCGATTCCCCATACACCAAAAAACTAGTGTGGTCGGTCATTCTGGATGCGTACAGTCAGACAAGCATATTGACTGCTGCATCACTACTTTCTTTTCCCTTGAAATAGTTCTATGACAGGTCATTTTGTTCAATAGCATTCGATATTCATCAAGTTCAATCTTGTGCTAAGAAAATTAATATATCAGATACAAGCACATCAAGGAAGGGTCATGAAGCGAATAGCAAGTATACTTTGCAAATGACTGAAAGGCGGCCAATGCCGGGTCGTTCATAATAAATCTCAAAGTGATCTACTAACAGGCATGCTACAAAACCTTTGCGAAAACAGTGCGGCTTTCCCGATTTTCACTTCCTTTGCCTGAATAGAACTATGTAAAAGTGAAAATATTCCAGCCCCCCCCCCTCTACTCTTAGCGAAATATCTCCATCTACGTAAGCAGATGAAATATTGGCAAGTTCCTAGACCCCGACAAGAGACATGAATGAATAAGTAAACAGAACACTTACTGGCATATTGGACACACCATCGTTGGCCACAGAGCTTCTTGCTGTAAAAAGGTCCGCAAATCGAAGACTCCCAGATGCTGACAGGTGTTCAATCGAGCGGGAATTTTAATTCTAGTTTTAAAGACCGGACACATCACGGGTATCTCTGCAAAAGTGGAACGAGATTTTGGTGATGCGTAAAAGTCGTCAAGTCGTTTAGAGAGTAGGATATGTTCAGGTCGATCCGGTCGAGTGGATGCCTCCAAAGTCAACCTTATCGACGGCATATGAATCATGACCACTGAGAAGAGAAAATCCTAAAAATAGAATGTAAAAATGGGGGTATGTAAGTGATTGGAAGTCGCACGCAAATCAAGCTATTGCTTTGTACATTTAACTGCTGATAATTATTACTAACAAATATTTTATGCTTTTGAGGCCCATTGGTCACTGTGTGCGTCTGCCATGTTAGAGGTCATGAGTTCAAATGCCATGGACACTCTTAATGAACGGAATGACCTGGCTAATATAGAGGGTGGTCGAAATCGAGTCTCTCGTTTTGACGACCCCATGATATTACCCTCTACCCAAGAAGAACGTTGGAAAACGTTTTTCCAAACGCGTCGGGAAACTGCAGGTGGGCACGCACGCACGCACGCACACGAATTATTCTTCTTGGGGCATCGATCACAAAACTGGTGTGGCATAAACGCACATATACAGCCACACACTAAATGCTGCCAATTGAAATTGAGGATGCTGTCTACTGCTCGTGCCCCTGCTTTCCACTATCGCGGAACATACAAATACGCTGCGCACTTGTTTTTTTTGTGCGCGTCTCTTCTAATAGAACGTAGATTTCATAAGACAGCACGACTTGGGAAATGTGCGTGCGCAAGCGTACATGGCACAGAGTGTGTCTGTGTGTGTGTGTGTGAAAACAACCGCACACAGTCGAGTAAGTTAGATAAACGGACAGGCGCAAGTGACACGCGTGGCATGCTGGAGTTCTCGAGAGGCAAACAGGCACGCTCGCGCAATGAGAAATTGGTTTTCGATGCACTGACAGGTATTTGCTAGCTCGTGCGCACCCCACTAATGAAATTACTAAGCGTCACACACACAAACACACACGCACACAAACACACGAATGTGTGGTATTTGCTGCTAACTGACACGGGTAAAATACTGACTACTGCTAAAACAATCAACGCGTGGCAGCACTAGGGTGGTAAGTTGGACAAGTTTAACAAAAGCTCATCTGCCAAAACCGCGTGAGCAAATTGACTCATTGCTAATACGCGAATTAGTTCGATATCTGTAGGCATAGTATAAATAAATTAAGTTCAATTGACTTACGGAAAGGGATAAGTTAGTTTGTGAGGAACGACTGGTTGGAGAAAGTATGACCTCCAACTTATTTCCGTTGATATTACACAAGTCCTTGAAAAGAGAGACTTTGTGTGCAATGGCTCCGTCTGTTAGAACACGTCGATTTATTGGAAGAACCCTATCGTTGAGACGAATTTCTAGAATTTCGTCTGCCCACTGACAGATTTGAGGAGGTTCAGATGCCAAGTGACAGGATACCGCGATTTCGAGATCACTTCGCCCAAGTATTGTTTGAAGATGACCTTTGGAAATATCGAATTCCAGGACTCGGACTTGTGGATCATTGGGGAATTTACGGGCTTGTTCCTTGTCGATTTGGAGCCTTGTCGATTGCACTATAGTTCCGTTTGGAATTAGATATGCCAATTTTTCGGCTATAACGAGATAGGGGGAAAAGTGATTAAGATTAGAAATGTCCAGAATGAAAAAGGTATACTTCTTCTAGGATAATTTTTCAAAGCACAATCAGAAAAAGCAGTTCAGAGTCTAATGTCATGCTTGAATCTGGAATCCCTTACTTTCACCTTCTCGGGGTGCGCGATAGACTTACCTCCACGTGGTGCACCCTGGGTAATGTATACTCATACGGCAAAAAAGGTCAATTAACCGGCAGTTGACTTCTGACTTCAAACTGCCATGACCCCACTGTATGCCATATTCGACTACTTCACCGTACCTTCACCTCTTTTCTACCTTTCTACCTTCGTCTTTGGAACACTCTTCTGTTCCCTCCCCACCATCTCGAATTCTTTTCACTTTGATGTTCCTTCCCCTCTGTGAAGCCCGAAGTCAACTAAAGGGCTAATGATAACCATCAAAACGCCTGCCATTTGATATAAATACTTTCACCTTCTCTATTTCGTTATTTCCCTGATTTGGATGGCTTTCTAAGATTAAACTTGCTAGTTCGTTTTCGATCCGCGATGACTATTTCTCATTCGAGTATCTTGAACCAAGACTTTAGGAACAAAAATCTGGC